GGGGGGGGGGTAGTCTTTAAAAACTTTTCAATCCATTTTCAGTTGTTTTCTCAACATAAGTGATGATGTGTGCATGCTTGCTCCCAAGACGTCACATGTAATAAATAAGCTATTAGTCATCTAAGTAAAGAACTCTCAATTCTCTGATAGGTCTCAAATTAGCATTCTAAAACCAGAATCCCTCACTTTAAATGGCATAAATAATATGGGACAACAGAAAAACTAGTAATTTCTTTTGAAAACAAGAGTACAATACTATCAAACTGTTATGAAATACCCTTCCTCTATAAAAAAAATTACTAATGTTTTAGCAATCTAATACCTTTAGTTCTTCAAATGGAGTTTATGGGGGAAAAGAATACCTGTGCAAAATTGGAAAGGGTAGTAAAAATTTAGTTGAACAAAATATAAGCAGTAAAATAACTAGGTAGGCTACAAAAATGAAAAATAACATACTCATAAAGATACTATACATAGGATGGAAGATATAAGTATAAAAAAAATTAGAAAAGTCAAAGCATCTTCCCAGTTAAACACTGCAGACTGTATCCTTAAAGTATCATTAAAATGACATTGGCAATAAAAGAGGCATATTATGATATAATGACAAAAACAAGAGACAGCAGTGGTCAAGAGGAGTTACCATGCTGAAGAGTGGAGGAATAGTGATAACAACTTGGCCAACAAGAAAAAGTGAAACCTAAGCGTATGGGGGCAGGGGGAGACCAAACACGGGACCAATAAGAAATAAACTCTTGGCACACAGAACCCTGGACAGGCTTAGAAATTGGAAGCACCAGCAACTCCATTAAGCAGAAGTGATAGGTAAGCTGAAAACAGAACTGCTGGTTGAGGTTAGAAGCTTTAAAACTCACCCCTACTGGGGAATAAAACCTACAGTTTATTCTCGTAAGGCTGAACCAGCTGTATTCTCAAGGACAGTAAGACAGAGATGACACTGTCAGAGAATGTTAGACATTGTGAGAAAAACATGTGGGTTAAGAGAAGTCAACATACTAACAAGTGAGACTTGCAGCCCTCTTCTTCACTTCCCCACTCAGCTCCTGTCGCTTTGACAGCCAAACTAATAATGCCTTCTAGAAAAGTGGAAGATTTCTTCTGTAGCATATATCAAATCCAAGAAAAAATACTTTTTACTAATGACATATAATGTACCCCAACAAAATGGATAGGTCCCTACCAGTCAACCTAGGGGAATGGTCACCAATTGGTTAAGTCCCACCTGTTTGAGCTTCGCATTTATTACTTCACTTTTAAATGTACAGTAAGTGGAAAACCAAGAAACACAATATATCTGAGCAAGGGCTATGAACAAAAGACTGGAACAAGTAAAACAAACCAAAAAAATGTGAATAAAAGCATAGAAGGTACAAATACAGCAAAGAACCAAAAACAACTTAAAAAAAAACCTCTCAAACAGATAAGGTTACACCTGTGGAGCAAAAACTAGCTTGTTGGTTTTCTGTGTTGATATTGGGGGATATCTGTTTTTGTTTTGTTGTTTGGTTTTTTGAGACTGACTCTTGCTACTAGTCCAGGCTGGCCTGAACTTGCTTTGTAGCCTAAGCTGGCCTCAAACTCATAGTCTTCATGCCTCAACCTTCTGAGTTCTAGGATTACAGGAATGTGCCACAACACTCTGCCCCAGACTTCTTAAAGTAAACTTCAGAAAACAAGAAAGACGTCTGATACATAAAGTATGACAATGGAAACGTTAGTATTCAAAAAGTAAGATTTCCACAATATGAAATAATAACCAAGAAATGAAAAACAGAAGAAAAAGATTTTATCAATTCAATTTGTTCCTGTTTCCATTTTTCTAGGCAGAGCTTTTTTTTTGAGGGGAGCTAGATACCAGAGAGGCGGAGGGGGGGGTTGAGAAAAGTACCTGAAATAGAAATTAACCATGTTAAGAAACAGTAAAATAAAAATTAACTTGGGTAATGAGTTTGATTTTGATGAAGTAGATCTGCTATAAAGAATGAATGAATGACATAAGTAACTTTAGATTCGAAATGTGAAAAATTATTTTATCTGTGTGGACATGGCTTTTTAAAAATGGGGCTTTTACATACCAGATAACCTGAGTATGAGAAAAAGTGAGGGCAGGAGGCAGTATTCGGCTTTTGTATCTGTGAGGTAAAGTACTATTAAAAATGTTTCCTCACATTCTTTCCAGGTCTCAGTTCTTTAAATCTAATTCCTACCTCCTTCATGAACCCTGTTCTTACTACTCCAGGTACATCAGTTTTTTTAAACCAAAAAAGGAACGTAAATTTAAATGTGGCCAGAGGTGACTACTAAGGCCTGGCTATTTAATGGCTTAACAGTATATTTTATAAAGACTAATTATATACTTAAAGATATGTATTAAAATTATTTGTATATGGCAATAGTATAAGTCTGATAGTTATAAGTTCTGGGGTCTCAACTCACCTGTCAATGACAAATCATGTGACCTTGAGCAAATAGATACTGTAAGGCTCAGTATCCACATGCATTAGCAGACTAAGGAAATCACCTTTAAAGTCCTTTTAGCTACAAACAGTCTATGATTCTAAACAAATACAGTAAGTCCCTGACTGACGAACAAGTTCTGTTCCAGGAGAACTGTTCATAAGTTGGATTCATCTGTAAGCCAACAAAGTGAGTCCTATACAGTACACAACTCAAATGTTCCTAAGTAGGGCATTTACTAAGCCTCTTAAAATTGCTTTCTGGCACTGTGATGCTAGTGGGGGATAAGGAGAGTTACAAAATATATACAGGATTAAATCAGAACTGCTTACCCTTCCATTTTTACAGATATAATCAAATAGCTCTCCTCCTGAGACATATTCCATCACCATGAAAATATCAGATGGTGTACTGATGACCTGGTACCTGGTAAGAGAAAACATTATCTACTAATATTAAAACACGTATATTCATTCATTCAGTAAATATTAACTAAGCACCTACAATATACCAGGTACTCTGCTAGCAGCTAGGAAAACTGCAGGAAACAAAACAAATTCTCTGTTCTCATGGTCCATGTTCCAGGAGCCAGGAAACAAAATAAGCAGTATCTCAAGTGGCAGAACATGCTATGAAAACACATAAAGCATTATCTTCTGTACAGTGTCATCAAAGAAAGCTTCTAATAAGGTAATATTTGAGCAGAGCCTGAAGGAAGTAATGAAGCAAACTATGCCATTATTTGAGAGAAAGGTGAACAAGGGGAGATGGAATGGAAAATACAAAAGTGACAGGTGGAAGCCTGGTTGGCATGCTGAAGGAATATAAGAAGACCAGAGCAGAGTCAGGTGGGAAAGAAATAGAATGCAGAGTCACAGGTTTAACTGGAGCCCAAAAGAATCAGAGCTTTACAAGCCATGAAGAGACTCTGGCTCTTACTTGAAGGAAGATGAAAGCTAGTGGTAGTTTTAAGTAGTTACATGATCTGTTATATTAAAAGGGTAATAGCCATGTGAAGAACTGACTGCGAATGATAAAGGTGGAAGCAGGAGGCTACTGCAGTAGTTCATGAGAGACAGTGGCTCATCCATCTGATGGTGACAAAGACTGAGAAAGGGGTCAGGTATATGTTTGAAGGAAGCAATGGAAGGGATGGTGGGAAGCAAGAGAAATAAGGAAGCTAAGAATGGTTTCTAAGGTTCTGTTCTGAAGCAACTATTAACTGATAGTAGAAACTATGGGACGAGCAGGCCTAGGACAGCACTAAAGAGTTCAGATTTGACTATGTGAAGTTTGAAGTGCCTCCTGGACATCTAAACGGAGATGAAAGTAAAGAGTGGACATAGGAGTCCAGGGTTCAGAGAAGAGGTTTCAAAACAGGAAATGGACATTTGAGGGTCATCAGCATATGGTACTTAAAATCACTTTAACAAATAAAAAGAGGTGAGGATGAAACAATTAGCCAGTGCCACAGACAAGTCTAAGCAGCTTTAAATTATAGTCTGCATAATAAAGCAAGAGCTAAGCAATAAATAAGTTATCTGTAAACCCTGGCAACTGTAAATCAGTAACATTACAGCCCTATTAAAATATTAATTCCTGAAATTTTATTTGTATGACCAAATATAAGCAGTATGGGGAAACTTTTTCTAGTGCATTCTGTAGTGAGGCTAATTGACAACATGTGGAAATAGGGAGGTACAGAATTTTTGCTAGCAAATCAATTGCTGGTTCTACAGGAACAAAAGCACTAAACATTACCCGTCAGAAGGGCATCTGTCCAGAAGACAGGACAGAATGAGAAGGATAATGGTAATATGCACAAGGTTAAGATTTGAAAATAGGCATATCTGACAATGTTAGATAAATACTCCAACAGGAAGATAGGCAATCTGACAGTGTTAAATAAATACACATACAGGAAGAAATGTCAGAGCCTTTAGGAAACAGGAAAAGTCATCAGTCATCTTTCTCACTTGTCAGATTAGATAAACAAAAGTGATAAAAAGATGACTAGAATGTAAATATAAACAGAACTTACAGTTTAATTATATGAGGATGCCTGAAAAGCTTGAGGTTCTGAATCTCTCTGCGGATTTTTCCTACCACATCAAGGCTTCGAATCTTCTGTCGATTAAGTATCTTCACAGCAACTTTATGCCCAGTCAATTCATGTTTGCCAACTGCAGGAAAAATAATTTTAATAAATTAGTACCAGAACTGATGTATAATATATTTAGATGTATTCTAAGAATAGCAGACTTACATTGTCAGAAAATTGTCAGGTTTAACTTTTTTTCCCTTTTGCCTAATTTTACCCTCAAAGATTTAGATGTTTAACAGTGATTCAGTAGATGAATAAATAAAGTGTTAACAGTAGTTTCTTCAAGAAAGGAAAGCAGGAAAGCTAAGGGGAGAAAGAAAGAAAAGACATATTCTTTTTGCTGTATGCTTTTCTCTATTGTTAAATTATTTTTTCATTTTTTAAACTATCATACATAAACTTATCTTTTTAACACATAGAAATTAATATAACTACCATTATAGTCATGAATGATGAAACTTCATCATTCCCCCCTAAAAAAACTCCACCATGCCACAGACACAATTCCCTTAGCATTGATAATCCCTTGTACCTTTTCAATTTTAGTTCCATGGGTACAGGGTCTCTATGTCAAAAATGAAGTTAAAAAAAAAAAAAGTGTGGCTAAGCATGTAATTCAGTGGTAAAATGCTTGCCTAGCATGTACAAGGCCCTGGCACCCTACAAAAAAACCAAACAAACAAGATTTTATCTTTCAAATTTGAATGCTATGCTTACCCAGACACAAATGGTCATAGAATTTAGATACTGCTATGGAGGCAAAGTCTTCAAAATGTTTACGTTTGTGCACTCTTTCTCAAGAATCTACTGGAAAATATGTATTCCATCAAAATTAAGAACACCAAGCAAAATGACATGGGCTCTAGCAAAGAAGGGATCTAATATGGGTAAAAAGCAGAATTCGCAAATTCATCAAAGAAAAGTACAGATGAAAGATATGTATAGGTCTAGAAGGCAACACATCCTGATAGGAAAGGAACAGAGGATCCAAAATAGTTACTTCTGGAGGACATAGTGGGGAGGGGGGTGTTATCTATCTAACAGGTTTGAAAGTATGGAATATTATATTCAGAAAGATTTTTATAAAGGCACTAGAAGATGTGGTAAATTTAGCCTTAGGTTTTTAGAAAACCGAAATGAAAAACTAAGGTAATTTATTAACTCCAAAAACAAGTTTAAAGTTCTATAAGAAATAAAATACAGGGCCAGGGATTTAGCTCAGTGGTTCCATCGCCTGCCTCACAAGCGCAAGGTCCCAAGTTTCATTCTTGGTAGAAAAATAAAAAGGAGAGAGAGAGAAAAGAAAGAAAAGAAAAGAAAGAAAGAAAATAGTTTGTTGGGACTACCAAAAGGCAAAAAAAATTAAAATACAAAATTAAAATTTTAAAATAGACATTAAATTCACCCAAGACATGTATTAATATTTCCGGAAAAAATACTAAGTATTTTCTGAAGAATCAGAGAATATAGGAACTATGAAGGAAGAGTAGAGCAAGGGAAATTTTATAGAACTAAAATCATTCAGAAAGCAGTAAGATATTGCAATACTGTGAGAAAAATTTATTGAACAGACACCAAGAATAAGAGGGAAAGTAATAGCCACGGAAAAGGGATTTGGAATTAATTCCATTCTGGCGATAATAATGAGAAAAATGTTAACTCCCCTGATAAACAATAGAATCCCCCCATAAAAGAATAAAAATAAAATCAATAACCAATCAAGGTATACTACAAAGCTTTTTCTAATACTTGAACATTTCATCAAATTATAAAATAATACAGAGGTATAATTTATTCACTTTCAAAACAATACAGGAAATCACAAAAGTACAACTGCATTCAAAACTGAGGACAGCGTAAAAGCCCAGCATGGTGCTGCGTACTTGTAATACTAACACTAGGGCAACTGAGGCAGGAAGCTCACAAGTTCAAGAACAGCCTGAGCTACACAATGAGTTCAAGGCCAGCCTGGACTACACAGTGAGACCCTGTCTCAAAAAACAAAACAAAACAAAAGAAAACACTGAGGACACTCAAGGTACCCAGATAGTAACTATTAAGTCATTCAAATTTATACACACATACACACACCACTAAGAACCAATCAAATAGGCAGAGAACATGATTAGTTTTATTGGTCTGTTTAAGAGAAAATCAGTATACTAATTCATTATCCCTCCCTTCCTTCCTCCCTCCCTCCCTCCCTCCCTCCTTTCACAGAGACACCAAGGAATAAATTTAATTCTTTTTTTCATGACTGAGTAAACCAATAGAACATTTCAGAAGAGCAAAAGGGCAATCAATGCCCTAAGTGAGCACTAAGAGTGATGTTATATTACACCCCCCCCGCAAAGTGTAATCCTGCTCCTAAGAACTGCAAATTAAGAAGATTTTTTTAAAAAGTGCCTAAGTAGGTGTATTACATTGTATTTTGAGAGACTAAAAGACTGCAAACAACCTAAATGCCTTTCAAAGAAGAGTTTAATACACTGTTATCCCAAATAGAAAGGGGTCTTACAAACAAAAAATTTGTGTATGCTTGTTTTTCAGCTACAGAGAAAATACATGAAAATGATAACATGCCAAATTAAAGTTATTCTATAGTGATTTTTTTCAAATTTTACTTACAGTTTTATACTTTTTTTAGTTTTTAAAAAATTCCAAAGTGGGGGAGGATGACAATAATAGCAAATTCACCTTTCTCGGGAGTAAAGTGAACACCAATTCCACTTCTGCATGAGAAGACAGTGTGTATTCAGAGCATAAATATTGTAGTTTCAGGTTTTATTCCTGTTTGAAGGTACTTACTGGCTATTTGACTTGGACAAGTTAAAAAAAACCTCAACCATTTATTCACCTATAAAAATAAGAATATGACATATTCCATGGGGTGATCATAATGATACATGAAATAATGTTTGTAAGGAGCCTTCCATAGCACTCAACACACAGAAAAAGACCAACAAAAAACTAGTAGCTATTATTATTTAGGGTTATTTATTTTCCACTTGTGCCCAGATCAATCCCCCATCCCTATTTAATTTCAGTCCAGAGTTACTGGTCTTAAACCCTGAATAGCCAAATTTATATTGGGTCTTTGACTTGTGCCTTCTGTTTACTTAGCTTCAGGAGACTGCCTTTATCTAGGCTCACTGGAAATGCTAAATAATAGCTGTCATTTTTAGACATCTTTAACTGTCATTTTTAGACATGTATACATTTTATACACCCTGCTGCACTATCCCTACCACCACTTGTAAGATTTCTGGTTTCTAAAGTTCAACCCATTTCCTAACTTTGGTTAATATTCAACAGCCTTCCAATAGACATATATACGTAGACCCTGACAGTGATTTCACTTACTACTTAAAAGCTACAGGAATACTTACTTGGCCACTAAAGAGCACAGAGATATTGAATTAAGCAAGAATTTTTAAAACAAATATAATTTTTATATTATAAATCTAGTTACACATTTATAGTATGTAATGTAATTAAAGTATACACCTTACCAGTTATTATTTGTGCACAATAATCATAATGTGTACACATGCACTTTGTACCCAAACATACTGTCTCACCAAGTCTGGAAGACTCATATTATTAGCAATATTTTACAGGAAACTGAGACACAGAAAGACAAAATAACTTGTCCAGAATTGTACAGCTAGTGAGTGAAAGCCAACACTGCATCCCAGGTCTGACCAAAAACTTGTGCCTTTTCCAAAAAATGGCAAATGAAATGTGATAAATTTTTTTAAAAAGTAATCCTCAAGAACAAATCCTCAAGTCAAAAGCACTCCCGTTCTCGCGTGCAGAGAGTGTTGGCAGGAGGGGCTCTTCTCCTTTCTGTACTCATTATAACCTTTTTTTTTTCTTGGTACTGGGAATCGAACTCAGGACCTTGCACTTGCCAGGCAGGTGTTGCACCACTGAGCTAAATCCCAGGTCCCCATCATTATAACTTTTTATTTTGTTTTGTTGTTGTTATTGGGGTTTTTTGGTTTTTTGAGACAAAATCTCACTATGTAATTCAGGCTGGTCTTGAACTCAACGGCAATCCTCCTGCCTCAGTCTCCTGAGTGCTAGAATTATAGGCATGCATCACTGCAGCTGTCCTCATTATAATTTAATAAATGCACATAAGAGCAAAAAAAAAAGTAATCCTCAAGAACACATGATACGGTATTACTGTATAAATACTAATACTGAATATATACCATTTTAATAAAATGTAAAAGTCTAACGATATTAGAGGAACGCTTAATTTAGTCTTGTATTTTTTAAATAAACTGAACCCTTATATTACTTGGAATTACTCTAAAATTTCATTCTTTAATTTTACTTTTCTATGTCAAACATGAATCCATTCTACTGAAATCTGCCTTATATCAATTTCAACATCTTAAGATACCATGAAGAGGGCTGGGGATTTAGCTCAGCGGTTCTGCCGCCTGCCTCGCAAGCACAAGGACCCAAGTTCAAACCCCAGTACCAAAATAAAAAAAAATTCCATGAAGACATTTTATTAATACATTTTCTCAAACCAATTTAAAAATTACCTAGAAAATGAAGTATTACAAAAGAGAGAAATGAAGGGCTCACAACAAAAAACATAGAAAATGTAATAACAAGTGTAGTAAGTTGAAGAATCTCCTCCCAAAATTCACGTCAACCTAGAACCTCAGAATGTTATCTTTTTTTTTTTCCCCCAATACTGGCGATTGAACTCAGAACCTTATGCTTTCAAGGCAGGCGTGGCGCCTCTGAGCTAAATCCCCAGCCCTCAGAATGTTATCTTATTGGGAAATAGGCTTTCACAGATGCAGTTAGTTAAGGGTCTCAAAAGGAAATCCTCCTGGATTTACATTGAGTGGTTATCTAATGACTGATATTGTATAAGAAGAGGGAACACAGACTCACACACAGAGACAGCGGCCATGTGAGGAGGGAAGCAGAGACAGATGTGCTACCACAAGCAAAAGAACAGCAGGAACCACCAGAAGCTACAGGTGAGGAATATTATTCACCAGAGCCTTCAGAGGGAATGTGGACCTGCTGACCCCTTCATTTCAGACT